CTTTTGTTTTTTGTTCTTTATTTTAGAAACTTGAATTAATTTGTTACTAAAATGAAGTTGTGGCAAGAAGTATGATAAGTTCATAATTGTATATACCATTCAAATTTGTGTATCTTGGTTGGAATTAAGAGTAGACACCATATGCTTTAATTCCAATTGAACTATGAATAAGAAGAGTATGTATGGACATTCAACAACATGGATTGGATACATGATTGGTTGTTTAAAATGTTCTTCTATGCTTAATGGATTTCTAATGCTTAATTTAGGTTCGAGAACAAGGATCTAATTAGGGAATTAGGAATACAAGGTTAGGACCATACACCATGGCTTAATCATACTTTAGCTAGAATTAATCTTTGAATCTGAATTAGACTTGCCACTTGAATCCTTATAACCTAAAATTGAATTGTTATGGTGAATCGAATGCCCTAGTCTCCAAATATATTTTTCAACCTTCAAAACCACCCTTTGTTGCATTTGCTTACTTTGCTTTTGTTTGCAATTTCATTTTGTTTCATTTGTTTTAACAATCACAATCACTCTCACTTTAAATTTTCTTTTAGACTTAACTTCCTACTTTCTTGAATTCGGTAATCTAAGTACATAACTTAGTTTAACTTCTCAATCCTCGTGGGTACGACCTTGTACTTGTCTTGCTATACTACTAATTGGCCCGTACAATTGTGAGTTAACATAACAAAGTACTATGAGCCCCAGTCTTCAGATGGTAATTACAAGATTTACATATGATTTTAATAGATTGTAATTACATGATTTTAATTCACATAAGACTTTTTTGTATTCTCCAAAATAGATTTGCCCAAAGTGTGAATTAGATTCGAGTTAGCCATAGTCCCCCCAAACAATGACCACTCCTATTATGCTTCAAGCTTCTTTTAATGAAGATTGGTCTAGCAAAATAAGGGCGTGGAAAACATGGTCAAACAAGCAATACCAAAATACCAATTTGAGATGGAGAGCATTAAAAACTAGTCATGAAACACAAGCTTGTTCATTCATTGAGTCAGTAGTCTGCAACAAGCAACTTTGGCTCTGCCTCGTGTACAAAATGCCACGACACAAAATAGAGAATAAAAAATAAGTTTGTCTACAAGCAAAGAAGAGCCAAAAATTTGTCCAAAATGTGAGGGAAGCTCAACCAATCAATGCTAGGGGATAATGAAGAGGGAGGAGAGGGCTTCTTGGATGAAGAATCTGACAGCTTTTGTGCTATCTCTGCTACTCAGGTTTTACAGCAAAAAAAGTAAATAAAAAAACATTTGGTCAAAGAAAGTTTCAATTTGAGTATTAGGAATATGTGTTTTGTTAAATTTCAGAGAGACGGGCATGTGGCCCACCACTAACAACATTGATATTGTATCCAACTTAACCACATATAAAGCCAATAGGTGTGGTATTTTATCATAAAAGGTCAAGGTGTTATTAGTAGTGGAATCACTTATTATAAGTTGTAGTTTATTTAGTCAAGTTTCTTATGTGGAACTTTATATTCTTCAATGTGTTTTTGCTATGTTCACCTTATTTTTAGCTTCACATAGGTTTGTGGGTTTTGAATTGATCAGAGAATGTACGGGTTCGCAGCTTGTCTAAAATAGATCGGTGAAAAAGGTTTTTTGTGCAGTCGAAAGCATGAAAAAATAGTAAAAAAGGTTTTGGTATTTATATCACCCACTCAAAAGTCTCACACAATAAATTATTTAACGAAATACCTCAAAATTCTTAAGATTTTGAATACCACAATACTTTTTCTTATCTTTTAAAAGTCCTAATTGAATACCACTAGACTTGTACTGATTACTTAAAAATCATAATTGAATACCACTAGACTTTTAAGCTTCAAAGCAATCCATTAAAATATTAATTGAATACACTCCCCTTATTTTATTTTATTTTTTTATGGGCAGGATGGCTTGGGTTAAAATTTGAAATCCAAGCTCGACCCTCGTCTGACTTGTTCGAGCCTGATGTAGCCTGGCCCGTCTAGACCCAGTCAAGCCCGTCTGTTTCATATTTAAAAAATATTATTTGTAAATCTTTAGTCAATATTATGTATGATATTTGGTTATGAATTATGACATATTTAATCTAAGATACAATATATTTAGTTTATAATATGCAATATAGTTGAATACTATTTATAATAATACAATTTCAATGAGCAGTTCATATGGGTAGGCATGGGGCAAGGCATTGAAACCCAAGCTCGACCCAATCGGGTCCTAAATAATAACTACGCTGAAATGGCCTAGTTCAAGCTCAACCCAAGCATGAAATCTTTGAGTTTAGTTGCCCCGACCTGGCCCATTGTTGAACCATAACTAGACCTATGATTTTGTTTTCAATCTTTTAATGTATATATTGTTCATATGTAAATACGGTTATGTAGGGCTATTTATTTGTTGTCACTCCATGCCTCAATAAACTCAAGGGTCGGCTTTGAATGGAGCTAAGATGAATGACTGGAAGAAAGCCTAAGGACTTCTCATTAAGCATTAAGGAAAAATCTCATTTTGATCATAAGGGGGACCTTTTATATGCTGAGTGTGATACTTCCCAAATAGACTGAGTTATTATATAACTAATCTCTCTACACGCACTTCCAACAGTAAAAGAGGCCTTTTTATTTCATCATGGGCACTACGTGCGACTTGAAGGTCTGCTTAAAAATTCATGCATGTTGAGAGCCTAATTATTCTCCATTCATTTGCCATGGTATATAACTATATATAGTAAAAATGATTTCAGAAAATTGCAGAACATTTGAGAAGATCATAAACTATATTTAGGGGAATTAGACGAATACCCTTTTGTCGAGGATGTTACAAATTGAAAGCCATCTCTGTAAACTTATTACATAGATTCTTTAGGCATACACACTTAGAATCACATCAAGAAGAAAAACTATCAAAACACATAAAAATATTAATAGCAATATTACATACCTAAAGATGTCATTGATAAAAAGTTCAAAAGAAAGTCTACTCTTTGTAGATTCCTTATGTTCAACCACGACGCTTACTAAGAGAGCAGGGACCTCCTTTTATTAGGGGTGGGCATATAAAACCGAAATACCGAAACCGTACCATACCGATTTTATACCGTTTCATTTGGGATGGGGAGATATTCGGTACCGTACCGTACCGTACCAATAGAGTATGGTATGGTAGCGGTATCAAGTATTTGGTACCGGTCAATACCGTACCATACCGAATAGTACTGAAATATAATTTATTTATTTTCATTCTCTCGCTGTCTCTCACTTGCCTCTTAATTTATTCATAACTTTCTGTTTTCGTCATTTATGTTTGGATTGTGTTTGTAATTTTGTAAGCCATAAGACATAATTTTAACTATTTTGATTTGTAAGCCATAAGGCATGAGTTTTAACCATTTGGATTTGATGAATTTGTTGATGGATAAATATTGATTTGGTTGATTTGGATATTGAATATGTTGATTAGGATTTGGATATTGAATATGTTGAATATTTGAATTTGTAACTTAGGCATCACTTATTTTGGTGAATGAATATGTTGAATATTGAATTGGTTCATTTTTTAGTTGTGTCATTTTGGTACCGAAATGGTACCGATACCGATTTGGCACGGTACGGTACGGTACCAATTTTGACAAACGATAATCCAATACCGTACCATACCGATTTAAATTTCCGGTATCGGTAGCTGTACGGGCTCAATACCGTACCATACCGTACCGTGCCCACCCCTACCTTTTATGTTGATACAAAACCCTAATTAAATCCACCTATTAAAGAAATTAAAAAGGTTTTCTTAGTATCATATACATTTCCTTATTCACACCTCATAAGGACTTTGGAGGTCCATATAATCAGGATATCCTTCAATGATTCTTTATACATACCAATCCCTAACCTCACTTGAATAAGAATCCACCTCCTTAGCGAAGTCCAGCTCGATTCCCCCCTTACTCAATATCACTTGCATTAAAAAAAAAACATTTATAATACATCTACATGTATATCCGTCAAATACTTTTGCATTAAAATGCTTCGAGACCACAATTTAATATAAAAAAGATAAAATAGTGTTCGGGCCTAATTTCATCACAGGCCAAAATATGGATGGTATAGAAGGAAACTTTTTTTTTTTTTTAAATTATTATTTTTTTATAACAGAAAGAAGAGCTACAAACAAAAACAACGAGGACCCATATTTAGAAGGAAACTTTTCAAGTGTCGGCTATCTTTATGTCAAGTGTGGTCATTTGATAAGATTTCACAAAAATTTGCATGCAACTTGCGAACGAATTACAACAATCGAATTGACTTTAGTTGTAGAGGTAAATGCTCTTAGTCACTTGAGTTACAACTTAGAAGATCCTTAATTTAAGGCTTGCGATATAAATAAGATTCATATGCCCAAAAAATAAATGCTCTTTTAACTACTTGAATTACAAACCTATAATGAAAATTTTAGACTTGTTATCCATTCAATTTCCTTCTGAAAGCAAAACTTCAAATTCCTAGGATTTTTCCAAATTTAATTATATAGTGTATTCTTTTTTTGGTCGAAAAATTAGTCTAGAATTTTTTTATAATTTGAGCTCCTATATTAGTGAATCTCCCAAATTATAATATCTTCTAACTATTTGGAAAGAAAACAAATAACTGGTCGTAATATATATCTTTCACTAAGAACGTGTCAGTCATTGGGCACGGTCCCGCTGCCACCTCTGCACTTGCGCAACGGCTTTGATACAAACAAGCCCCGCACTTATCCATCTCTCTCTGTGTGTTTTGGCTAGGCTCAAGCTCAACTCATTGTCTCTTTGTCCTGCTCTGTAAGTTTTCTGCTTTTCTTCTTCAACTCATATTGCTTTCGTTTTCTGGTTATACCTGTGATATCTGCATTGGTAATTTTAAAATTATTGGTTCAATTCTCTCTAGCTTTATTTCTTAAAAGTTTTCCTATTGGATGATGTCCTTGGTAATTTTTCTTTCTATCGCCTCGGCCTCCCTCTTCACCAAAATAAATAAATAAATTCCTACTGGATGCATTTGATGGTTCCTTGCCTGATTCTATGACATTTAAGGGATGTGGGTTTTCTGGATTTTTCATAAATTTTGTCCAGAGATGGAGTTTGTTGTGGTCTGTTGTGGTTAACATAATCGGATGTGGTTGAACTTTTTTTTTTTCTTTCTATTTTTTAAGGTTATTTTTTTGGGTTTTGTTCACTCTTTACTCTTATTGTCTCTTCCTGAAATTTATTTTAGTTATCATAGGAGGTTGATTGGGTCTGGCCTTGAAACCTTCTTTAGCTTACTTCATCGTTCTATTGAATTATTTTCTGCGAAGAATCTCGCTTCACCAACTTGAAATGGAAAATTACCAATTTTATGAGAAGTGTTGTTGATAATAAATGAACAAGAATTCTCTTATCTTTAGGATGGAAATTTGCATAATTTAAAGTCTCCAAAGTCTATATTGTTTAGGATCTGATTGATAATCTGCATGTCTTATTTTTCTTTTTTACAATTAAAGAGAGAGGAGGCAGATGAAGATGAGATTAGAGAAAAGAGGTGAAAGCTGAGGGAGAGAGGACATAAAATAGTTTTTAAAATATAAACTAAAATCAATATCATATGCTTTTTGGTTTTTTAATTTTAGCTATCTAGTCACCCCCCAACATCTCTCATTTCTCCCTCTAAAATAGGAAGGAAAAAAAAAAAAAAAACTTTATCGGACCACAAATAACGTAGGTATCATTTTCATCTAGTGATGTTAAAGTATTGCCGAAGTTGTTAAAATGAAAATCTATTGCATCAACCTCTATTGGTCATTTACCACACCCCTAGATAGTGAAAATTAGAAAGTTATATGAAACACTTGAAAGATGCTAATTTCTAGTATTGGAAACTAGATGATATTTTGCTTTCATACTTGTTTACTTTGAATTTCATTTAGTGTGATGTTAAAATTTTAAGACAAAGCTCGAATAAAAACTACTAATCAAAGTTTACGTGGTTTGTCTCTTTCTGTACTTTGGTGTAAAATTTCTGACTTACATTAGAATAATCTGGCTGAGGAAGTTTTTAATTGTGTGGTTTGTCAAAAACTATCAGGGAAATTACTGCCTGCACTTTTACATTTTTCTTGCATGATGGCCATTTTGTTCTCTTGTCTCCTTTTCTGTTCTTTTTGAAGGATTTATTGATTATGCATGATATCAGGAACTCAAATGAAGGCTACAGCATGTCTTGCAACTTGTAAACAGATAGTTGATCAGAAAAGGCACTGATACCCATGGATGTGATGGCATTGGTTTCTGAATTACCAACTACCATAATAATCTTAGTGATTAGGCCTTTTTCACTTTTCAAGCAGTTATGCTTGTTTGGCATAAAAACTACTTTTATTATCATTCATACATGCATAGAGTTGATGAAGGCATCAGTCTGCTTCCATGTGAACCTATTCTGGAGAATAACGATGTGGACATTTGCACTTATATCTCTGCCTGGGCGAGTTTTGACTGCCTTAGAGAGGGAGAGGCAGGTCAGTTTTATCCGCTTTCTGTAACTTTTAGTCTCCTATTTTGAGTACAAACCTGATTTCTGAATTTTTTTTTGGGTGAAAATGGCACATTGAGCATGTCATATCTTCTAAAGGGAGTCGACTGACATGTTGTTTGGTATCGACTGACATGTTGTTTGGTACTTATTACTAAAAATCTCAAATATAGGGATTCAGAAAAATGGGCATTCTAACCGCATATTTTTTTTTCCTTTCTTTGTCGGTTTTCTTTCTTAACTTTATATATATATATTGCTTTATTCCTTGGGTGATTGAGCATAATTTTTGTACTAAAATCTCAAACTAGTGAATGCTCACTCATTTTGTGTAACAAAAGTTTAGGTCAAAGAGAAGTATTAAGTTGCCCATGTCAACTCAGGTTTAAATTCCAATTAAGGACCCATGAACCAAAGAGGTAAAACAGATGGAAACTGGGTTGAAGGAAGGGTTTTGAAGAAAAAGAAGGAAATTGCATGCTATTTTGAGTACGTTGTATGTACAAGCAGGAAGAATAAATATACATGAGTTGGCCAATATGTAGAAACTGAAGGAGAAACTTGATGAGAATGCTCATCCTTGTGTTTTTTTGTACAGAAGTTACTGTAACCATCCTTGTATTATGCTTCTGATACAGCACTTACCGTATACTGCTAAGAATTTATTTAACTGTCAAAGCTGTCAAATTGGTTGCATGTGTGAGTGCATGCGTACGCTTCTTGTGTCTCTTTTAAAAAACTCTGTAAGTGTCTCTTTTAAAAAACTCTGTAAGGTTAGTTCTATTCGAAATTAACTCTTCATTATGCAGGTTAAATCTCTCCTTATTAGACTTTGTAAGGTAATTATATTTGGAATGAAGCATGTAAAGATAATGGGTGGTTAGATTTGTGCACTAGCTGCAGACCATTGATGGTTTTTGTTTGTTTACTATGCCTGTTCTTTCTTTTCTTGATGGTTATTTGCAGTTGTTTGGCTCTTTGTTTTTGTTCCTACTTGCAATTTCGTAGATTTTTTTTTTCAGTTTATTCCACTGTATTAATCTTTTATCTTGTTATTATAGTTCCTATATTACACATTCGCACAGTATGCCTTACTTATGAGAATTATTGCTATGCAAGCAGCTGGAACGGCATTTACTTGATATGCAAATTGAGTTGGAGAATCTGGCATGGGATAGGAAAGAACTTCAGGAACATCTACAAACAGCCATTAAAGAACAAAAAATGATGGAGTTGATATTAGCAGAACTTGAAGAGGAGCATGACAAAGCCATTGCTAAAATTGAACTGCTAGCAAGCGAGGTAAAGATTTTATCATCCTCTTGCATGCAACCAGAGTAGTGGTCCAATGATCCAAACTTTCCAATTTTTAGATCCCATTCAACATTCATCCATAAAATAAGCAGAAAGGGAAATCATGAAGACGTGACAATTGGATGGTTCGGATCACTGGATTGTGTTAAGGGTTGGGCACACATGCAGTCCCTTCTGGTTCTTATAAAAAGTGATCCTTCTTAATGAATTTCTTCTGAAACTAATTGCCTAAGTTCAATGATTAACCATATGCAAACTACAGACAGAGACCAAAAACCTTCATGTGCTTTTACTACTGAGATTGAAAACAATGCTGTGTACACTACATGAACGATGAAGATCCTTGCTTCAGCATTAAATAAGATCATGTAACAGATTAGGGTTTGATTTCTCAGTTCTTAAAGAAAACACTAGAAGAAGTGTTAACTCAAGTTTCTTGCAATGGGACATTAGATTCTGTCTTTCTATAAATAGACATAATTATGCCCCTATCGAATACTGACCCTTGTATGTGCTCTGACAGTTACAGGATCTGAAAACTGAAAATCTTCGGCTAAGAGAAATTCAGGGCAAAGGATATTGGAACAATAAAGGTCGAGATGAAACAGGCAATGTCAAGGACTTAGCCATTGCTGACTATGGCATTCCCTATGGGATCCCATCATGGAAATCCCGTTATGATGGAAGCGGTATGATCCTCCAAGACCTTCTGATGCACAAAGATACTTGGGGAGATGAGAGCAAAACTAAAACAGAGTTGCTCAAAATCTTAAGAAATGAATCAATATCTAGTGGGCCTATACATCCTGTTATGCCTGAAATCAACCTCAGACATTTAAATATGAGTGAAGTTTTGGACGAGCGAAGGGGTATTGCAATCAAACAGAGTCTTTTCAGTGCAGTGTTATCACTTTTGGTTGGAATAATTGTTTGGCAAGCTGAAGACCATTGCATGCCCCTCGTTGTGGCTCTCTTCACCGTAGTTGGTATGTCATTGAAGAGTGTGGTTCAGTTTTTCTCCACCATAAACAACAGACCTGCTTCTGATGCTGTTGCTCTCTTAAGCTTCAACTGGTTCATACTCGGTACGCTTACCTACCCGACATTCCCGAAGGTAGCTCATATGGTGGCCCCAGTGGCATTAAATTTTGTGGACCGAGCATTGAGCTTGCTTGGTTTCTCTTTTTTCCTAGCTTAAGTCTCCCGGCCTTTAACGTACGCCACATGTACTATAGACCTGAAATATGAAGTTTTGTTTGTTGTATATTACACTTTGTACAGTAAGGCGTGTTCTGCTATTTAATTTTTCCTGGTGCATTTTCTTGTATCTTTTACATTTCTGTTGACTAACTGTGATTTTGGCAACTTTAGGCGATGAAGATAAATCCAACGGGACAGCCATGTGGCATAGTCTAATTTAAGGTTTAGTCGAAATTCTGATGTAAATGCAACTTCAGTTGTGCTAGTAACAGTCGTTCACGTCACAACAATGTAGAAAAGTTCAATTAAGGATAAATTCAACTAAGGATGTCACAACAATGTGGAAAATTCCAAAAATTAAGGATAAGTTCAACAACTAAGGATTTACTTGGCGAAAAGTCCAACAATCAAGGGTCTGTTCTCCTCTAGTCCAACAATCATAAGTATATAGACTATAGAGGCTGCTAAGTTTGATTTGCTCATCCATTTTGGACTTTGAAGGTATGAGCTGACGCAGTGGTTTCTACTTTCCTCTAGTCATAGAGGCATCCGTCTGGCTAAGGACTCTTTTTTGGGTTAGTTTTTGTTTGATTTTATGCTTTACCAAAACTGTAACAAAAAATAAAAAACTGTTGTCCCAAAGGAGAATCATGTCTGACTTTCCCATCTTAATCTGTGCTGTTAAATCTGCAGGTGAACTTGTGTAATGCCTATTTCCTTCTTTAGAAATATAATAATCACTCCCTTATAGCTACACTACAGAACATTGGAAACAGCAGAAATACAGCAGTCTATTTATCAGGGTTGAGCCTTCTTGCATTAATTTGTAGCTGTAGGGTGGTCCCTATGGGAAAAAGGTCCAGAGTTTCTTTGTTTTCTAAGCTCATCTCAAAATCTTATACCCAATTTCTCATATTGGGTCCTGATATTTGTAGTGGTTAAGACTTCTGATATTTTTCTTTGGCTCCAATGCACATGCCCAAAATATTCAAAATCAAGTGGATTTTGAGGTAGACTCTCTATTAGGGGTGGGAATGAATTCGGTTGGGTTGGTTTCAATCTGAATATGAAACTTAACTCATAAATAGTGGTTTATGATTTCTTGGGTCTAAGACCAACTTATTATTAGGCTAACTCAAACTAATTGAATTCTCTTGTGATGAAGTTACTTGACCTATGGGCACACCTAGAGTGTGGTTGTGGTCCACGGGTTGAGTTGCGTCAGTTTTGGTCTCAACTTGTAACCCAACCCATACATAGCGATTTATAATTTCTTGAGCTCAAGACCTGCTCATTATTAGGCCAATCCAACTCTTTTGTGATCGGGTGAGACGGCATGGTCGTATTGAACCGAAATTGTGGCCATCCCTACTCCCTATCTCTCATTCCTCCTCTCTTCCATCTGCAGTTGCCAAATGGGTTTTAATTTAAACTACACATAATAGGCTTTTGACTAGTTCTTGAAAAAGAAAAATGGAAAAATATAAAAGATGATAATGGATTAAATTTACATAACAATAACAGTACTAGCAACACATAACACAACAGTTGTAAAACACCATAATACTAGTAACGTTGGTATCAACTATACCCAACTTACAACATGGAGCCTTGTTTGTGGAAATTTATTGAGGGGTGTTTTTCTATTTCTACTTTAGTAATAGTTCATGACACCACACTTTTATATGTGTTAACAGTTAACTATTAATTCACTTTTTATAACTATGAATACACTTTTTATGACTCCTAAATTACTATTTATAATTGTTAATAAACTTTTTATTACTATTGTGGCATGACTCAATCATGCGTTACCACCAACGCTATGAATACGGGCAGACACACAGAGGGACAAATGGGGTCAAACTACTCCATGGCAGCTTGCGAATCTGCTGTGGAGATCTGAGGCGACCCCAAGCCTTGCTGGTGTGCGACACCAAGGGGCACACTAGCTGTTTGATGAAATGTGCGAGAGAACCTCCCGCTGCTGTAGGCTTGCTCCGAGTGCGCGAGGCTCTCTGTTTTTTTTTCAAAAGCGCCTGGCCAAAACAACGTCGTTTTGGTCCAGGCGCATTGAATTTGTTTTTTAAATGACTTGGCTTAATTCATAGATAACATGGAGAAGGTGCTCAGGTGGAGGCGTCTCTTACAAAAGCAGCTAATTTGTTTGGGTTTCTTCGACGGTTACGTAGATTTCTAAACGTTGAAAACTTGTACTCTCACGCTAGCTTTTTTCGTTATTTGTTATTTATTCGAGTTTTTTTATATATTATTTCCATGAAAGGGATACAAAACAATATACTAATATCTAAAAAGGATGTAGTGATTAATATGAGTTAATTTACACACATATACATATAACAAACATATACAATAAGATACCACGTTATAGGTTGGGATGTTATAACATGTTTTTTGTTTATTAATACGAATTCTAAAACATAACTTAGTTTTTACCCATGTTATTACTAAAATATGAATAAGGTTTGAATACTTTAAGTTAATTGTATTCTTCTCCATAAGAAGGTATATATAACAGTTTACAAGGGTGCTTCACAAGAAAATAGATACAATAATTAATTATGAGAATATCTCCTAATTATATAAGGATGTGTAAACTATATAAAACAAGGAAGTAAATCACCTAATTAACTTAGGAAATAAATTTCCTTGATTTAGTAGGTTAACTCACGTCAGCTTTCCTCCTTAAGTTGGTGCATACACGTCATCAATGTGTTGGCGTTCGCGAATCTCACGGCCTGGTGTTCCGAGCCGAAGGGATCTGCATCAACACAGGTCGTCCTTCTTTTGGTCCGGTGCGGTTGTGCGCGGGCATGCCAGCACGGGTTACCGTGCGTTTGAGGGTGAGTTGATTGTGTGAGTGGATAGGGGGTGCGCCTGTTTTGAGTCTGACTTCTAATCAGAGCGATTGTGGCCGAGAGAGGAACTGATCTCGGCCGTTAGGTTCACGGCCTGAGTTACAAGGCCGTTAATGCGGTGCTGATGGTGGTTTTTAGGCGATGCTCCGGCGCATCGCTGGGGGGCGATGGTCGTATGATATATGAGATGAACGGAAGAGTAACAAAGGTGGTGCTCCAGCGCCTTGAAAATCAAGGGTCGTATGATATATTGATGAATGGATTTTCCTACAAACAGCCACTACTCCTAAGAAAGCAAGTAAAAGTATTGAAAATGCATTACAATAAGATAAATGACAAGAAGTAAATGACAGGAAAATATAATCTGCTCCGCGGGAGGCTTGTGTTTGGTGTTGAACCCTTTAAATGTAGTTCGAGCCTGTTATTTATAGGGAAGGTCTTGAGGAGACAATGAAGCTGAAAATCTGCATGGTGAGGTTGATCAGAGCTAGTGGGTAGTTGAGTCGGCATTTGGGAACGTGAAGCATGGTGGTGTGACACCCATAAACCCCGGCCGCCGCCCTAGTGGTGGGCTCTGCATCTCGGGCCTTGGATGAGCATTTAATGCCCTGGTCTGATGGTTGGTGGCTTAGCCTTACAAAATCATGGGATTTTCGCACCTAATCCCTGATTTTATTCGCCATATCTGACTTCAATCACGTCCCCTCTTTCTTGGCTCATTAAATGCTCCTACGTGGATCATGGGCTTTCTGCTGTGATCAGAGGTATTACTTCATTAAATGAAGCGTGGGACCATGACACCACGTGGCGACGCTGCTTAGCTTTTCCTATTTTGGCTGTGTATCGAAGGAGTTTATCCTCGGCTAGTATTACCGAGGCCGTGATGACCTTGCTGTGCCAACTTACTTTTGTTTCCAAAAGAGAACGAACAATGATTCGTAACCTTCGGCCGAGGGTAGGTGCTAGGGCCGAGAGAAAGTACCTTCGGTTAGCCTCCTTAGGCCAGTTTCCTCGGACGAGATTTATTTAGGCACAAACACAATGCCCAACTTAGTAAGTGAGTCATAAACACTCGTCCACAGATAGCTTTTATTAAGACATCCACTAATTGATCTTCTGATTTTACAAAGGGTAGACAGATGATCTTGTTCTCAATTTTTTCTTTGATGAAATGTCTATCCGCCTTAACATGTTTAATTCAATCATGTTGAACTTGATTATGAGCAATATTGATAGTTGACTTGTTATCACAATGTAACTCCATTTGCTTATGTGGTTTAAAACCCAATTCTGTCAAGAGTCCTCTGATCCACAATAATTCACCAACTTCTTGAGTCATTCCTCGATACTCTACTTCTGTACTAGACCGAGCACTCACATTTTATTTTTTACTCCGCCAAGTAACTAGGTTACCTCCAATGAATGTAAAGTAGCATGATGTAGAGTGTTTATCAGTAATGGAATCAGCCCAATCAGCATCTGTAAATCCAACAACTTCATGATTTCCATGCTTTGAGAACATTAATCCCTTTTCAGGGGTTGACTTTAAGTATCTTAAGATTCGATCAACTGCATTTCTATGAGAAACACTGGGTAAATGCATAAACTGACTAACCACACTCACAACATATGCAATATCAGGTCTTGTGTGTGCCAAATATATCAACCTTCCAACAAGATGCTGGTATTGTTCCTTATTGGTTGGCAATCGGTCGATGTCTTCACACAACTTTTGATTCATCTCAATTGGTATGTCAGTAGGCTTACATCCAAGCATTCCTATTTCAGTAAGTAGATCCATCAAATACTTCATTTGAGATAGAAATATACTAGTTTTTGACCTTGCTACTTCAATTCTGAGGAAGTATTTCAAAGCACCTAAATCCTTCATCTCAAATTCATGAGACAAATACTTTTGTAGCTTTTGTTGCTCTCTTGTGTCGTTCCCAGTTACGACCATGTTATCCACGTAAACAATTAATGCAGTGATTTTTCCTCCATCACGCTTCAAGAATAGGGTGTGGTTTGAATTACTTTGAGTGTATCTAAAATTCTTGATGGACTTAGTAACTCTGTCAAACCATGCCCTATGAGATTGTTTTAACCCATTGCAAACTTGATTCTTCTTGTCATGAGCTAAATTACATCCTGGTGGTAAATCCATGTATACCTCTTCTTCTAAGTCTCCATGTAAGAAGACATTTTTAACATCGAATTGATGTAGTAGACTCTGATAGTGTTGATCCTGACTACTGGAGCAAAGGTTTCCTGGTAGTCCATCCCATATCTCTGTGTGTACCCATTTGCCACCAATCTAGCTTTATATCTTTCAATGAATCAATTTGCTTTGAGTTTCACAGGATAGATCTGCCTGCATCCAACCATCTTCTTTCCGTGAGGTAAAGGCACGAGCTCCGTCTACCGCGCAGATCTCAAGGCCTGGGTTTCCAGGCCGAGGGGATATGTGTTGACACGCGGCTTCCTGCTTTTGGGTGCTGTGCGGTTGTGCGCGGGCGTGCCAGCACGGTCTACCGTGCATCGAGATGGTTGATGTGGATAGAATGGTTAAGTGGTGCGCCTGTTTGGACTCGTCTTCTAATCAAACGATTGTAGCCGAGAGAGGAACTAATCTCGGCTGTTAGGTTCACGGCCTGAGCTACAAGGCCGTTTAGTGATGGTGTTGGTGGGTTTTGGGCGGTGCTCCAGCGCGCTGCTCAGGGAGCGATGGTCGTATGATATATGGGGTGAATGAGCGAATAACAAGGATGATGCTCCAGCGCCTTGAAAATCAAGGGTCGTATGATATATTAATGAATGAATTTTCCTTACAGTCTAACACTACTCCTAGGAAAGCAAGTAAAGATATCGAAAGTGCATTACAGGAAAAAATAAGTTGCTCCGTGGGAGGTTTTGGTTTGGTGTTTGAACCTTTTGAATGTATCTTGAGCCCTGTATTTATAGGAGTTTCTTGGAGGAGTAATCGAGGCTGAAATCCTGCATAGTGGGGCCTGATCAGAGCAAGTGGGTAGTCTAATCGACATTTGGGATTGTGAAGCATGGTGGTGTGACTCCATAAATCTTGGTAAATCTCGGCCGCCGCCCTGATCGTGGGTTCTGCGCCTCTGGCCGTGGAGACACATTTATTGCTCTGATGGCTGGTGACCTACTCTCTCAAGCTGCAAGAATTCTTGTGAGAATGTCCACGTCTAATCACTCTGTTTCCTGTCGCCAAACCCTGACTTCAGTCACTTCTCACCTTCCCTCATGCATTAAATGCTTATTCGTGGCCAGTGGGTTTGCTGCAATTAACAGAGGCATTACTTCATTAAATGAAGCATGGGACCCTGCTATCACGTGATGATTTGATTATGATATCTCTGGCCGTGATTTTGCTCGGCCTCGGCCTAGGCTTACAATCGAGGCCGAGATGATCATGCCTTGGCAACTTTTCCGTTGTTTTCAGGAAGGCAAAACACCTTGGCGAAATGCTGCACTTTAGCTTCTCGAGGAAGTGCTTGGGCCAAGAAAAGGGGCTCCTTTGGCCAGTTCATGGCCGTGATTTATTAGGCACAAACAGATATATTTCATTAGTGTTATTAGTTTGAGGAGGAGATTTTACCTGAATGACTTCCTCATAAGGTAATTGGTGTGGTACTAGAGATGAAAGAGGGTTCGAAGCGGGCAAAATCTCAAAAAACAATTCAACCTCCTTCTGATTTTGGCAGCATGGAGTCGACCGATCATTTTCCACTGGTGACTGGTCGTTTTGACACATAGGCTCAATGATCGGCCAAGGAGGACAAAACGACCAGTCGTTTGGTTAGAGCAACCGGTCGTTTTGACATAGTGGCTCCCCCAATGAAGGAATAAAGGGGGCAAACGGTTGTATGGGAGAAGCAACTGGTCACTTTGAGGCAGAGACGCCTTATGTGCACAAATAAAGGGAGGTGACTGATCGCTTTAATGCTGAGTCTCTTTCGTTGTGAAAAAGTCCAGAAAAGTCGGGGTGTTTGGCTCTAAATTCTCCTAATGTGTTTTTGAAAAATATATGTCGTGTTCCCAGAACACTACATCCATGGAGATATAGATCTTCTGACTTGGAGGGTGATAACATCGGTAGCCTTTCTGATGAGGAGCATAGCCAATGAAAACATACTTTTCTACGTAAGGATCCAATTTGTTATGTTGGTGATCATGTAAGTGTACGAATACAACACAGCCGAAAATCTGTGGTTCAAGGTTTAGGGTGAGAGGTATTTGGAGATGCTGGTGAAGTGTTTGAAGAGGAGTTTGAAAATTCAAGATACTTGAGGGAATCCTATTTATAAGGTAAGGTGCAAAGAGGACGACCTCTCCCCAAAAAGATCGAGGCATGTTGGCACCAACTAAAGATGCACGAATGACTTCCAATAAATGTCGATTCTTTTGCACAACCATCCCATTTTGTTGGGAGTATATGGACACGAGTGTTGATGTATGATGTGATCGGTTTATAATTATATATCATTTTGTACCCTTCTATTCCCCACCAAAATGCAAAATCCTGGGATTCACAATCCCACAAATCACTCCATTCATCCTCCACACTCCCATCATTCCCCAAACACATTCATAAATCACCCTCAAACACTCTAACAACCCTAAACACTCCAGCAATCAACCCAACATTCTAAACAACCCCAAATCACTAAAACTATCCCAACAAGCCTCTCTTCCTTTTCCCTACGAATTTCCTCTTTCTCAACAATCACCACTCACCCAAACTCATCCCAAATCACATGCTTAACCTTCATACATCCTTCTAGACGTGGGGAAGCTCTTGGAGAGACATTAGACGTGAAGAAGCTCTTGGAGAGACATTAGACGTGAAGAAGCTCTTGGAGAAGCATTGGGCACCACAAGAACTTCATAAAAGGGTTTTTCTACTCATATTGCATTCATTATGTTTTCTCATTTTTGTTTAAGTTTCTTTACCATTACGAGTAGCTAAATCCATTCTAGGATTTCGATGTAACCTAACATGAATTTTCTGGGTTTATAAATTTCAAGTTTGAAGTTTGATTCATGATTCATGTTCTTATTCATTATGCCTACTTGCTTATATGCTAATCGGAATGCCTAACTACCATTCAGATTTGTGTATCTTGGTTAGAATTAAGAGTAGACACCATATGCTTTAATTTCAATTGAACTATGAATAGGAAAAGTATATATGGACAGTCGACAACAGGGATTAGATATATACTTGGTTGTTTAAAACGTTCTTCTATGCTTAATGGATTGCTAATGCTTAATTTAGGTTCGACAATAAGGATAGAATTAGGGAATTAGGAATACAAGGTTAGGACCAGACACCATCGCTTAATCATACTTTAGCTAGAATCAATCTTTGAATATGAATTAGACTTATCACTTGAATCCTTATAACCTAGAATTGAATTGTTATGGTGAATCGAATGCCCTAGTCTCCAAATATGTTTTTCAACCTTAAGACCACTCTTTGTTACACTTGTTTACTTGCTTTCACTTGCAATTTCATATTGTTCATTTGTTTTCACAATCATAACCACTCTCACTTCAAATTCCAATTTCATTTTGCTTCATTTGTTTCCAAACTCAATCTTACTTTAAAATCTGTTTTAGACTTAACTTCTTGTGTCTAGAATTCGGTAATCTAAATACATAACTAAGTTTAACTTCTCAGGCCTCGTGGGTACAACCTCGTACTTGTCTTGCTATACTATTAATTGGCCCGTACAGTTGCGAGTTAACATAACAACATGATGCCATGATCTTGTAAGAATTTTTTGAGATCATGATTAAGAAATTCTTTGCCATTGTCAAAATTGGAAACCTGGATTTGGGCATGAACTTGTTGAAACGTTAAACTAACTTCCTTTTTTGGTTTTGAGAAGGGAAACCCAGGTCATTTGGGTGCAGTCATCAATGAAAGTGACAAACCATCGGGCTCCAGCCGGAGTAGCGATTTAGGTAGGCCCACAAACATCAAAATGAATAAGGGAGAAGGGAACCAAACTTTTATTTGTACTTAATGGGAACGGAACACGATGGCTCTTAGCCAATTCACACCGGAAGCTGGAAATATCAAAACTAGAAAGAAATAATGGAAACAACTTCTTCAGATAACCGAACGAGGCATGCCCAAGATGTTTGTGCCATAACCAAATTTTGTCTCTTTGCCTCTCAGAACTAGCTGCACTTGTTATGAAAGCTTGACCACCCTTGGTCTCACTAGCCGGTGCCCAGTCCAAGTAGTAGAGTTTACCCTGCCTAGTACCACAACCAATCATCTTCCTCGTGATGATGTCCTGAAAAACACAATGATTCGGCCAAAATGTTATAGTACACCCCAAAGTAGTAGTAAGTTATGCAACAAACAATACATTATGGTCTAAGGTTGGACCAATCAATACAGAATCCAAATGTATGGAGTTAGAGAGAGATAGAGAGTCTCCCTAACCACAGGAGAGGGGATACCATTAGTATTAGACACCATCGACTGAGTGGTTGGTTTGCGACTAATAAGTTGGCCAGGATCAAATGTTATGTGATATGTATCACCCGAGTCAATAAAATATGTGGGCTTTGGAGAGGACATATGAAAAACAGAACCTTTGGTGGTGACGATAGAAGTACAAGCCCGGGTAACCGGTTCAGTAGGATTGATTGCATGCTTCAGTGAGTCTGTAAGAAGTGAGAGAATTGTAGGGGGTCCTGATATCGCATCGTAAGTAAGATTTAATATGAGTGTGTGTTTGTGGTTAAGGAGTTGATTTGAGAATTTGAGGAATTTGATTTGAGATGTATGTGTTTAAGGAGTTTGATAAGAGGATTTGATTTGAGAGGTAAGGAATTTTATTTAGGGTTTGGGTTTGAATTTGAGGGTATGATTTGAGGGCTTTGGGACAACCTAGGATCGATTGCTTTGATACCATGTTAAAATATGAATATGGTTTGAATACTTTAGGTTAATTGTATTCTTCTCCATAAAGAGGTATATATATAGGAGTTTACAAGAGTGCTTTACAAGGAAATAGATACAGTAATTATTTAGGAGAATATCTTCTAATTATACAAGTGATGTAGAAAAAATGGCTAAATGGATTAAAGAAGAATTGGAGCGAAGAAGGGAAAAAGGGCGCAACGGGAATTTACAGATTTGGCATCCGAGCTCCGATTGGGTCGCATAATACTTTCTCGAAAAGGGAATGACGCCACAAGTCCAACTCACTTAATTTTGTGACATATGGTGGATTTTGGGCTTTTGAGGATGTTTGGCCTTCCAAAAGTGCATTTAAAGAATGTATTCAGTTTACAGACTTTCCGTTTATTTTCTGTTAAGTTTTCAATAACTCCCCAGGGCAATCCAATGGGTGAGAACAATGTATTTAGTCAGCCGTTATGCTTGGTTGAACTATTCTGAACTTTTATCAAATAACTCAAAGAGAATTTCTCTCTAAGTTCCTAGCGGATTCCAGATTATTGTTCTTTAGGGTTTTCGCTTGAAAATTGTGCTGCGTCAACAAGGATTTGTAAACTATATAAAACAAGGAAGTAAATCACCTAATTAACTTAGGAAATAAATCTCCTTGATTTAGTAGGTTAACTCACGCCAACAGTTATAACACATGAATTAGTAACACTAGTTTGTGATGGGATGGTTAACCAAAGAGTTTCTTGGGCCATGAAATACTTAAATGTGATTCTATTTCCCTATATAAAAAATTTAGCGTCAAAAGCACAATGATTTTCCACTTAAATGTGATTCTATTTCATTCTACACATTCGTTTACATGAAGTATGTATTGAAAAAAATTTCTTCAAATATTCTTTTTATGTGTTTTATGTTAACCTAGTTTTTTTTTTGTCGTGGATGATCTAGCAAAGTTCTCTCCTTCCACTTATAGGTGTGTATATAATATTCCATTTTATAAAATATAGTTTGTATTGTTAGTTTTGCCATAAATTATGAATGGAAGTACTATCTTTCTTTTTTTTAAATATTATTTTCTTCTTAAAAAAATTTCAAAACTTTTACACTATGACCCTATGAGGTCACAATCCTTCGTCCGCCACTGGCCATGAATCAATCATATGTTACCACACTTTCATATTCGTCAATCCCACCACTTGGTCACACCTAACCCAATATGTTACCCAGATGACTCAAGGCAACCCACCACCACTAAACTGAGCGATGGTCGGGTTTGGTCGGTACCAACCATCCTACACGAGGGGAATACTTGATCAAAAATACATAATCACCCTCTCCAAAGATCTAACTAAACCAAACTAGGAGTGGTTGGAACATGATTACAGACTACCTCCCTAAGCACACCAACTTGGACAGGTGTGATCACATGATTGGAGCAAGAACTAAATGGCTCTACCTAGCTACCAAAAAATCCTCCACTACCTTCATCTGGCTGGCTCTTTATGTAATTAGCACATCAAGCCATTGATATAAAAAGATAGTTTTCCTTTTCCATAAAGCCAAATACAAAAACATTTATATTATAAATAACATATAAATAAATTGGAAAGGTTTTAAGATATAATGAAATTGAAGAAAACAAATTAATAGGTAAGTAAAAGTAAAATAAATAATAAGTAAGAAGGTGAGTTTGGTACGGTGAAGCACGTCAAAGACACTGTCCTAAAGCCTTTGTAGCCTCCTTACGTGCAGGTACTGACGGTCTATAAGACTCCAAGATACAACTCCTTGTACACAAACTCAAGATCCACTATGAGCACGTTCATAGACGAATATAGGTATCCAAGTCACAGAACCATTACCAAAATAATAATATAATGTAGAGAATATATATAAAAGTAGAAAAGGATTGTGATATGTGATATTCTGATAGTGTATTGTGATTTGTTCAAATGTGAAGGAGGAGTGGCCTTTTATAGGCATCCAAGAACAAATAACCTTTACCAACCACAAAATTAAGGCATTCAATATAGAAATAAAACTTGAATATTAAATATTTATAACCCTCACAATAAATAAAATAAAACAGCCAAAATAATAAATAAATAAAAACGGTTAAATTTTTTAAATCTTTTTTAAAATTCCAATAGCCATGCCTAAGCACTCCCCATGATCATGATAACAGCTTAGGTAGATTTCAAGGATACTTGCCTCGTTGAGATCTTTATAAATACCGCCATTTACATTTAGAAAAAAGGTAATAACTTCAAAACTCTCAGAAACTCTGCCCATTTCCTCTATACAACCAATTAAGGAAACAAGGTAATAACTTCATATCTCTCAGAACATAA